CACGTAAGAGCGCATGAAAGTTTTAGAGGGAAAATTGCTAACTCAGGTACCAGGAAAGCTACAAAGCTAAAATTTTGGAGGAATGTTCCCTATCCAAGCATTACTCAAATATTTCAAATTCAGCCCCCTGGTATGCGTGGTACTCACGTAAGGGCGTATGAAAATTTTAGGGGGATAATTGCTAGCTTGGGTACCAGGAAAGCCAGAAAGCTGAAATTTTGGGGGGATGTTCCCTATCCAAGTACAACTCAAATGTTTCAAACTCAGCCCCAAACCATGCGTGGTACTCACGTAAGGGCGTATGGAAGTTTCTGCAGGAAAATTACTAATTCGGCAGCCAAAAGAGCTGGAAGGCTAAAATTTTAAGGGGATATTCCCTTTCCAAGTGCAATTTAAAAATTTCAAATTCAGCTTTCCAGACACATGGAGTACCCACGTACGGGTGTTTGAAATTTTTGGTGGGAAGATCGCTAACTCGACATCAGAAAAGCTGGAAAGTTGAAATTTTGGGAGAATGTTCCCACAGTTTGAGTATTTCAAATTCAGCCTTGAGGCATGCGTGGTTGTTAGGTACGGCACTTAAAGTCTTGACGAGCAAATTTTTCACTGAACAACTAGGTTACTTTCAAAGAACGACTGTTAGATGGAAATTGTACATTTACTTTGCAAAATTTACGGTGATTTATGCTAGTGACCGCAACAGATAGGTGTAAAACAACAGCAATTCGCAGTTAATGACCTGAGTAATTCAAGTCCGGTGCAAAAACGCATGATCGCACGGGCCCGCCCGGTGCGTTCCAGCCTGGGTCAGAATTCTTATTAGTATTCTTCATGTGGAGAATACTATAAGAAATGTAAGAAAAATGCACTTCCACTAATTATTTCCGCTAGCGAAAGTTTTTTTAAAGAATGAATACCAAGCAAAGCATGCTGCAATTTAACACTTGGACTGGGTGCATCTTCGTAATTTGGCTTTACAACCATGCAAATGGCAATTCGTGCAGTTGTTTTGACTACTCTATATTGTCAAGTGGCCAGCCTCCTAAAGGTACTACATGCGTTTTTTCTTACAAAAGAATCACTTGTTTAACGATTTTGCCAAAAGAAGCAGTTTGGCAAGGCCTTAGCCGTTTCGAGATGTTATGTTGAACACCACCATCTCGCCTCAAACGTCGGTATTCCTAGGCCAAGACGAAATCCTTCCCAACTGCGATAAAGTATCTTACTGATCAGAAAACAATGAAGAACGTTATAGAGCGGACAAAAGATGGCGGGCAAGAAGCAATCCAGAAACGTGCAACAGTTTGATCGGTGATCTGTCCCGCTCTCTGTGATGAGTATTTAAGCAGGTGAATTTGTTGTGAGATTCAGTATATGTTCAGCATTATCGTCGGGGCGTCTTCCGTGTCGTCGTCGTGCACTCCTCCAGCATTTCGGGTCACCGTCCTTCAGTATTCAGGATCGTGGGTATTCAGGGTACCCCACGTGTAGCGTCCAGCGGTCCCTTTCAGCAGTATCACGCTGCATTCCAGTATCGGCACTCTGTCCGCAGCGGTTGTCGCTGCAAGCGCTCGATTTATTCCCGTCGCCCCACCGAATCACGTGTAATCTTGTATCTGTATTGATAAAGTTTGTTTGTTCACTCCAATCTGTCTACTACGCGCCACAGTACAACAGCATTCATCCAATTTCCCGTCCGAAACTCGTCGTCATCGTCGTCGTCGTAACGTTGTTCTTCGTCGTCCACGTAACAACGTGCATCAAACGTATGATAATGCGTGATAAAAGACGTTAAGGACAAGGTGGGGAGAGGAGGAGCCAAGCAATTCAGATCTTGGGATCTACACAACAATCACCAATATCGCGTTGACAATCTCGGTGGATCCGATGTGACCAGACATCAGTGGGACGAATCCTCACGCCACGCCTACCTATATCGTCAGTTGCGTGCCATCAGATAGTTATAGCTGCACAAACCACTGTTTCAAAAGATCACGAGTGGTGTTCGATTTAACAGAACAACATGTCAAACAGTACAAAAGGCTATGGAACAAACCTGAATACTTATGGCATATGTGTATATGAAGTTTTAGCTTTACTGCGCTACTGAATATTTTGCTACACACTGTGCACAGGTGCTAACTACAACAAAAAGATGGACATAAATACCATGTAACTAATATGCGCTAAGTCAGAATGTCTAATTCATCGGTTGTGCATTCGCTCTGTTAGATAAAGAGAGAATTAGAGTCCAAATTCAAAATCGCTTACTTAAATTCAGAAAATAAATGCAGAGAATATTTTAACTTCTTTTTATCTGACTTATTTCTGACAAACTTTTTTAACTTCTGGTTTCTGAGAAAACTTTGTTCGAAAAAACTTCAAAACTGCCAATAAAGCAGTATGGACTTTGCAGCAGCAACAAATGCTGCTGCTAAGACACTCAGCTGAGAAACCATTTTTTGGCTTTATAACATTGCTAGTCATACGCAAAATTCATAAACGAACAACCTTCTCGAGTCCATCCCGCTTTCATGCGTTCCCGTCTTTGGACTAACTGCCTGGCTTCAGTTGGGTCGTTTCTTGTTTGGACTGTTGTGCGTACACTTTTTTCATCCAAATTCTGGTTCCCCTTGGATGCCGGGTCATGTTTTGTGTCCTGACTTTGTCTTATGTAATAGGCATAGTCTTTTGCCTGTTGATTCCACGTCTTTGTGTTTTTGGCCCGCAGATTTTCCTGAAAGGACAATAAATTTAAGTGTTCTACTGCCGAAATCGCGTATTTTAAGCGCGGAAGTCAGTCAAAATTCGATTTGTGAAATTCGTCCAAGTACGCTAGCCAATTTTCGATTCGTGAATTCGTATACGTACGCCAGCCAAT